TACAGTTGCGGAAACACCGGGGCCAAACGGAACAGCGGGATTATCAGAGCCCTGAAGCATTACTTCACTTACCTGCGGTCAAATAAAAGCCACGGGTAAAATAGTCGAGGAAGGCTCAAATCTACGACCGAAAGCGGAAAACGGAAGAGTTGAGTACGGAATTATGAATTCCTTTAAATGCACACAAAAATGCATAAATCTGATTAGATGGAGAGGGGAGAGGCGAATGTAGCTAGCGCATACAGTGAAAGAGAACTGCACTGATTTTGCTATACTGCACAAAGATCACTCGGAACTTTGTAGCCGTCCGGATTGCGCAGAACAACTCTGTTCCTCGCTGTAATACGAGGGCTGATCAAAAAGTGTTTCTGGATACGCACCGTACACGACGAGTACGAGGTGCAGAAGGGCGGGCAAGGAAAACGTGAATTGTAATCTACTGTTGTGCATCCACTGTTCAGTGATTGCAACTCATACACACAGAGAACCAAATATCACAACACAGCCGAGAGCACGGCACAGTTCACAAGTCATACGAGGGTCGCTATGTACTCGGACTGTGGGGATGGAACTCAATCGATCGCACTAGAGAGCGACGATTTCCAAGGACTAAAATGCAGCAGCAGAGTGTTGATCGTGTGTGAAACGCCTCGGTGATGACGCGCCTTCGAAACGCATTGTGTTTGAGTGGTATGCGTAATTCAATGCAATTCACCATGTGATGATCCTGGCCTACGAGATGATGCATTTCCACGGAGCGACGCGTTACAGTTTTCGGACAGCTGTGGTCAATCAAGCTTCTCGAGTGACGTCAGCAAAGTGTGTGCGTGCCACAGCTTCTGAACTACGAACCATAGACCGATTGTATCAACCAATCAGAAACCGTGTGGCTCAGACAGAAGTTGAACAACGCCAGTAATACTAGCATGTGATTGGCAGAGGCTTGGATGACCAATGAATTTGTTTTGTACATATTATTTAACCTCCCTTATTTCTTTCAGTGAACAAACTGTTATTCCTGTGACCTTTTCCTCGCATCTCGGTTACGTAGGATACTATCATGCTAGTACCAGTGTGGTCCAACGCTTACGTGGCTTACGTGATTTCTAATTCGTGATTCGTATCTCCTATTACACACCAGCGGCTGCAGTGGAGGCTTTTATGGAACTGGNCGAGGGGTTACTCACTTCAGTATGATTGAGCTACTTCACCAAAGGGGTTTGAGCGCATGGAACTGTATGTGTGTGTGTGTGTGTGCATCAATATTTCCAGAAAATGTAATGCTTATTTTTGTTTGTATCCAAAAACAAAAACGTTTTGTGAATCCGGAAACGTTTTGCCCAGCTCTCGTGCATGCTTGTCCCCAACATGTGAAGCTTAGCGTAAATGTTTGTGCTGTTAATAATTGAATCGGAGCAATATTTCGTAGTCGTACGGCAAGCACAACAGCGCGTATTGTTCCACTGTGCATCGACGCTTCAGTGCAGTACATGTGTCAAGAGATTGCTTTGTTCAAGCACTGGGAAACCTTGTTCACCTATTTCAATCTGTACTGTCACATAATAATAATAATAATAGTAATAATAATAATAATAATAATAATAATAACAATAATAATAATAATTTCAACACGTAACCAAAACAGAGAACTGACAAATGTGTCACAACATGTGAACAAAAGGAAATCTGTAGAATGTATTCAAAGATTGTGTCGCCATGTTACTTCCCGGTTGCCTTGGCTGAGGAAGAGAGGAAAACTCGGGGTCCCCACCCGAAGCGTTTGGCGAGAAAGCCAAACCTGAAAGACAACAGGCCGGAGCTCAGAGTCCGCCCTCCATTGGGGTCCGGTGTCTAGGTTATTGGCTCATACACCCTTTGGACGGACTAAAACGTCCAAGGTACCCAATACACCTCCATGCTCAATCCACGCGGTGACCACTGTCATAACCAGGAAGGTGTGCATGTGGTTTGTACGCCTCTTCTTGACTGCTTTGGAATCAGGGTTTTTAGCTAACTCCCCTAGGTGAACTGTCAATGGTTTGATAACCCGGTTACGGTGGATTTTCGTCCTCTCGTTTTGGTGGAGCAGAACACTTCCGCCACGAGAAGGCAGTGAATAGGGTTTGAGATGCATTTCGCAAGGCACCCACTCCCGACCAAACTGAAGCTGTCACATACCACATTGTTGTTAATTTGTCCTTTCCATTCCTGTGAATGAATTAGCTGTAAAGCTTTCCGAGTATCACGTAACTTCCTGTGAGAAATTTGCCCAGATGATCCTCACAGATCCGGACCACCCATTGTATGCAGAACTGCCACTTTGTCATTCCCATCATTCAACACGCTCCCAATTTCGTCAAATTTCATCTCGAATTAATGCATACCGCAATTCAACCATACCGTATCTTGCTCGTCTACTCACAAACAAAGAGCGAACAATGAGTGAACTTTGTCTTAACCTTGGATTATGAATGTGTCCATGCTTGTGAAAACT